AGAGAGAGAGAGAGAGAGAGAGAGAGAGACAGGACAAGTGGAAATCAGAGGACAACTTGCAGGAGTCAGTTTTTTTCCCCAGTGTGTGGGTTCTCGGGATGGAAGGAAGATTGTGAGGTTTGGAGGCAAGTACCTTTACCCACTGAGCCATCCTGCCTGCTCCCTTTTAAACTTTTTATTGAAGCTTATGGATTAGAACAGGATTTCTTCTTATTTGCACATTTTTCAGGGGCTTGGTAAACATACCCAGAAATCTGTTAGAAGTAAGGCTGATTGATGATCTCCTGATAGCACTGACTTCCCTAGTCTGTTGGAAGCGCTAAGGAGAATTTCCAAAGGCCCTGGAATTCTCCATCTCAACTGTTTTTAGAAGCCTTAATAGAATAGAAGTTAGGTGGGTATCCATTCCCAGGTAGGAAATGCTTGATATACTGAAATCTCCTGGGTTATGTAAGTCAGGGATGGGGCTGAATACGATTATTCTCTTCTTTCTCAGCAAGTTCAAAATTACTGCGGGTATGAAGTAGTTTTTTTGGATGGTCGGGGGCTAGGAATTGAACCCAGAACTTTTTGTACATGTCAGGCAAGCACTCTAACACTAAGCCTACACCCCAGCCCATGTGCATTTTCCTTTTAATCCTGTTATTTAATAAAAGAAGACTGTCTATAGTCTTAGGTTCACAGTTTCCCTGAGGGGCACAGATCTGGTACAGGAAAGACAACACAGACTGAATAAGATGTCCTCTCGTGGCCAGCTGTGAGTCAGCTCCACAACTGAGGTGTACTTTGTTCAGGGGCCTATTACTGAAAGCCATAAAAGAGCTAGAGAGGGAGCTCTTGAAAAAGGAAACGAAACAGAAAGAAAACGAAGAGAGCAAGGTGTGGTGGCTCAAACCTGTAATCCCAGCACCCAGGTGGCCGAGGCAGGAGGATAATTACGTGTTTAAGGCCATCTAGGGCTTCAGTCTGAGACCCTGTTTCAAAAAGAAATAACATGGCATGGTGGTTCCTGTCTTTTACTCGGGGAACAGAGGCAAGCAGATCTTGCTTGGTCTACACAGTTAATTCTATGCTAGTCAGAGTCAGGATCACATAGTGAGACCGGTCTTAAGGGGGGGGGGGAGGAGAAAGAAAAGAGGAGGAGAAAAGGAAAGTATGAAAACAAACTGGTGGTGGTGCATGTCTGTAAACACCTGGGGGAGGCTGAGACAGGAAAATTGCAACAGTTTTATGCCAGCCTGGCCTATATATTGAGTCCCAGGCCAGCATGGGCTATAGGGTGAGACCCTGTCTCAGGAAAAAAATAAAAAACCAAGCCAACTCTTGCTAGTATTTATCCTACAAACCAAACCAAACCCTATACATTCCATCGCAAAACATAAGAACAAGTACAAATAAGTCAGCAGTCAGTACCGGAGCTAAGGGGAGAGGGTTAGAGCTGGGTGGCGTCAGTCAACGAGGACTGTTTCCGGCAAAGTGAGGACCGGAGGAGCAGGAGCGTGACAGAAAAGGATGAGGAGGCCATTCCAGCACTAATCTGTGAGCAATGTAGAAGGCAACCGAGGCAGCTGTAGGGGCCAAAGAGTAACGGGTTAGACTGGAGAATGTGTGTTAAGGGGTAGGAAAAAACAAGTCAGACGAGCCGGAGTGGTGCACACTTTAATCCCAGCACTCGGGAGGCAGAGGCAGATGGATCTCCGAGTTTGAGGCCAAAATCGCTCACAGACAGCCTTGGATGGTTATAAATCAATTTTGCTTTGACACAGGAAGCCTTTTGGGTATTTTTAAAATGAAAATATCTTGGGGGAACTGATATGCAGTTAGATTAGAATAAGACAAAATGGCAGAATTATGAAGGGAGCTGTTGTGAAGTTCCATGGAGATAAAAGAAACCGACTGGGTCCCAGCTCCAACCCCGCCGGTATACAGGTCTTCGGCAAGGCATGAACTTCCTTTTCTTTTCCCCGAGACAGGGTTTCTCTGTATAGCCCTGGACATTCTGGAACTTGCTCTGTAGATCAGGCTGGCCCTGAAATCACAGAGATCTGCCTGCTCCTGCCTCCCGGGATTAAAGGTGATTGCCACCATTGCCTGGCTATCTCCCTTGTTTTCATTCTACCCAGTGGCTCTCAGTGTGATGTGGTGATGTCTATGGACAGGTCTTGTCCAAGAGAGCATTCTCCACTGAGTCTCGGAAGTGAAGTTTTGGCTCTACTTTAGAAATTCCTTAAAACAAAAAAGATAGCTGGGCGGTGGTGGCGCACGCCTTTAATCCCAGCACTCGGGAGGCAGAGGCAGGCGGATCTCTGTGAGTTCGAGGCCAGCCTGGG